CCCCCCTCCGCACCCCGCCGGCATCAGGGCCCTCCAGGCGCAGCCGCCCCAGCAGTATCCTTTGGCCGCCCGAGCCGGCGCCGGGTGCCGCACATGTGGCAGCGGGCGCGGGAACCGGAGGGCGAGCGGGGCGCCGGCCCTCCGGGGCGCGGGGCGAGCGTGCCCGGCGCGGGCTGCGCCCCTCGCCGCAGGAATGAATGGGCAGCTTCGCAGGCAGGGGCCTGGCCGGGCCGGGCGAGCCGAGCCGCGCGTCTTGCTCCCGGGTGCGGGGCCGGTTGCTCTCTGGCCTCGGGGTGGGGACGCGTCTTTGGGGAGGGGGACGACCGCGGGGGGGACACTGCCGGGAACCTCTCCCCGAAGAAGGCGAGCCGGTCACTGCGGCCGGGCCCTGGGCGGCGTGGGGAGGGCAGAGTGCTGCGCGCAGCCCCCCCCCCCGTGTCTTCGTCGGAGGGGGGCTCCTTCCCGCACATTCGTGCCTGGCTGGCCCCGGGCCTCCCCCGGCGCGGCCCTCATTTTGTGTGGGTGCGGTGTGCCCCCTCCCAAGCCGCAGGAGGGGGAGGCTGTGCCACAGCTCCACTCGGGCTCGGTGCCCGCGGTGTGTGTGGAGGGAGGCCAGCTGGGCAGGGCTGCACCTCTGGAAGGGGATCCCAGGCGGTCAGGCTCGGAGCGGGGAGTGCTCCCCGGCGTTGTGCCCCCTCGCCCCTGCCTGCTTGTTCTCGGGGAGGGCAGAGGGGCTGCAGGGGGGTGTCTGTCGCTACAGGAAGTGGGGAAGGACTGATGGAAAGGGAGCTGCACCTGTCAGGGGTGAGGGCTTGTGTATCTGCGGAGGGATGTGCCCTTTCCCAGTTGTGAAGAAAGCAGGTGTATTTTGATGGGTGTTTTCTTAGGGAGCTGCCTCTTCTTTGCAGAGGATAGGTGTTTCTTGGCCCAAACCCCCCTGCTTCATGGTGTAATTGTTTGCTTGTGTCATCAGTTTATCTGCTCTGTTTGCTTGTGCTCTGATTGAAGCCACAGCCCTACAGCTTGCAGTAGGGCTTGCTTCTGAGTAGACTGGGGTCCACCTCCGTTTTAAAAAATCCTGTGCTGAGAAGAGTGTAGCATTTCTTGGGCAGAATCTGCTGGCTCTAAGTAGTTAACTTAGTTAGGGCTTTGAAACTGATAGTGACACTCAGATTGGAATGCTTTTAAAGGCACGTTTCCGTAGAAAAACTTTTTTCCTGTTGAAGGGCGTATAAAATATATGCACTAAAGTGGCCATCCTAAGGAAAAGAGTACATTTTTGCATGCGATATGCTGTAAGACCAGGAGTCTAGTGGATACACATTGCAGTGCTCAGTTTTAAAAATGGGGCACGTAGGAGAAGGAGAGAGAGACGGGGCAAGGAAGATGAGCGGGCAGGCAAACATGTAAGCCTCTGCCGCCTGAGAGAGCTCGGGTGTGCACAGGTGAGCAGTGGGGGCATAAGATGACGAGGTTCCCATAGAAAACCAGGGGACAGCGAATTGCTGCCCCTGGGAATATTGGAGTAGTCTGTGAACTGCAGAAAACTTCATCCTCTGGATGGTGACCAGAAGAGCTGCTTTTGCTTAGTCAGCTGTACTTGTTCAAGACAGCAGAATCTCTCTTTACTGTAGGGACATAGTGTAACAGCTGTGAGAGGTTTACATATTTTCCTTACTGCTCTGTGTGGCTTATCAGCTGGTGACTGAGGTTGCACCTGAAACTCGGCTCTTTTGCTCGAATGAACTTCAGCTGAGGACAATGGGCTATCCTTGCTTGTCTGATCGAACACCCCAGATTCTTGTGTGGTACAGATTTGAATCTCAAGTATTTCTGGGGAAAGTGTTATCTAAGTAGACTTTCTTTAGAAGAACCATGTAGAATTGTGCTTCCTTTCATGAGTAAAATTAGAACAAGTTTCCTAGTTTTGAATGGCTTGCCAACGATGACAGTGAGGAGGCCGGCTCACTTGACTATTTGGAGTCTGTGTTGGGTTGTTTCCGTCAAACTCTTGCTGGATTTTCTGAACGTGCCTCTGTGTTTGTAGCTGGATTGAAAAACTTTTATACCCTAGTAGTTAATTGGCTTCTACTTTCCTGGCTGCTGGAGCTGAGTGCAAAGATGCTGGACTTCCTGAAGTATACTGCATTCTTGTAGCAAGTATTCCAAGCGTATTTTAACATTCCAGCATCCGTGAATGCTGGTGTGGCTTGGAAAGCTGGGATATATTGCGTTGGAAAACGCTTCACATACGTTGACATTTATTCTACCTGAATTGTGCCCTGCTTGCGCATGTCATTAGAAGGAAAGACGACTGGGTCCCTTTGCAATGGCTAACACTTATAAGACACCTCTGGATGTTCATGATGTCACGCATGACAAAGCATCCTTGGATCTTTCAGAACAAGAGACCTTCAGAAAGAGAGAGTGCTGCTAAAGTAATGGAACAATGTGATACAGTGGAGTTCACTGTGCTGGTTCTACACCTTTCCATTTTAATGAACGATGCTCCATAACGTTGCGGCGCATTACAACCTGAGCTGTGTCACGCATAGTGCTAACCTTGGATATAGGCTGTATAGTTCTGGTCCGTTGCGATGTGTGAACCCATCTATGCTAAAAAGCTGTGGCTGT